AATAATAATAATAATAATAACAACAATGGGTTTCATTAAAACATGCCTAGTGTGATTTAAGAGTAATGTGTATGCTAATAAACGTACCTATATAAAATGTATATTTTCTGTAAAGCAACCATATTTAGGTCAATCATATTTTACTAAATCATAATAGCTTTTTAAAACATTTTATTTACTTTATTCCGATATCGCCTTCCAAGGTCATCATGGGCGCGTAAAAGTAATTGGCCTATTGGCGCATCCACTTGGTTTATTGGATTTGTTCAATGTTAATTCTATGATATTACTGCCAAATAATGGCAGTCAGCCTCTTCTCAAACAGGAGTGTCTCTCCTTTCGTAGGTGCGGTTAGAGAAGGCCAATTGTTTATGTCTCTGTGCATATTGCTTCAAGTTTTCAGAGAGTTAGTAGGTGAATACACCAAAAGGACCGGAATTCAATATTTCACGGTGCACGGGTAAAGTGTATTTAAAGTTAAAGGTGAGCTTTGGTGTGCCTATGTTTCCGTTACCCGTTCGTGTATGCATTAATTAGGGCTTTTTGTTACTTGCATTGGTTTTGAGCACGCCATTATTCTCATTTTTAAGGATAATGGTGTCTTGTAATACATTTATATCCTCAAGGGAAGGTTGATCATGCCCGATACGGGTGGGTTCAAATTAGTCTGCCAGGTCGCTGTAGAGTACCCTAAAATGAATGCTCCTTCAGTGGAATTTGAAGCAAGCGTCTAATTCCTAATAGCCTCATGCTGGAAGTTACCTGCCCTTCGGGACTAGAAAATCACGAGTATTAACCTGTCGTATCTGGATGGTGCGTGGCTCATTGCAAAGGTCATGCCCTCAATAAACAGTATTCAGGGTTTGAATTCGGTCAGATGATGTGATTAGTAAAAAACAAAGCAATGAATGGATTACATAATCTCGCGTTCGCGCTCAATTCGCACAAGTGGATGTGAGTTTGGGCAGGCGCAGTCAATACATGGAATGCCATAGTTTATTTGCTCCAGCACGACTAGCAGCCTGCGTCGCTTGTATGACAATGTGCTGAGCTCAGCCAATATGAAGGAAAAGGGCCGTGAATAAATGGAGGCACAATCTCGCGTTCGCGCTCAATTCGCACAAGTGGACGTGGGTTTGGGCAGGTGCAGTCAATACATGCAAAGCCAATATGACGGTAAATGCGCAGTGCTTTGCATCCGCAATGTGTTCCCAAACTTTGTATCTGAAATTACTAATTATCCATTTAGCCACTGTAGTTGGAGTTTACCTGCCGACCCTGCAGTTAATTCCACGCTACCTGGACAACAAGGCTCTTATTCTAACTGTTGTATTACAGTTTAACGTCTCTTTGGCAAACATGACCAAATTACTCTATCATTGGTGCCATACTCTCATTTTATTACGCAAATGAACCTCCAAATTTTTATAACCACGGAGCCGATAAATCCGCAATGATGCTTGTCATGCCGCTACAATCTGGCTTTGTTTATCCCTAACATGTATGTGTGTGCATGTGGTGAAAAGGCTGGCTGGTTAGTTACCTTGCTAACTATTTT